CCCCCCCCCCCCCGCTTCTGAGACCATACAAAACTGTTGCCAATTGGAGGAAATGGTATAAGGCCAGACAAGCCAAGGATTTTATGACATGGATAAAACTTAGTTAGCAGCTACTGCTTGTTTCATGCTTGGTAGAGAGTCTCTTCATCATTTATGGTGATGCCCCAGTGAGCTTAATGGGACATACACTCAAGTGGGTGTGGCAGGGAGAGCTTCCTAGGGGGTCACAGGGCTCCTGAATCTACTAATGGAGCCCACAGCACTGAATGTGAGTGTTACAATTTAAAAAGAAGAAAAGCAATAAGGAAAAAAAATTATGAAATATGTTTTAGAAGGCAGTGAGTTTCCCAGAAGCCTCTGGGAGTACAATTATTCCAGAGAACAAAGGTCACACCTTATTCACACCTTATTTCAGGGAACAAAGGTCACACCTTATTCACACCTTATTCCAGAGAACAAAGATCACACCTTTGTTTTACCTGACACACAAAAATCTCCCAGTCAGAGGAGAAGAATCCCCTTTATTTTATTGTTATTCTGCTGCATTTTTGGCTATGATGGTTCAAGTGGATGTGCAGCCTATGATGGAATCCAGACTGTTCTCCAGATCCCAGAAGATTGCTTGTCACTGGAGCTTCAACATCACAATTGTGACGGTCATGATAATTTTCCAAAAATGCTAATGGCCAGTCACTGATCACAAGTTCACACACTGCCAGATCACAGTATTCTTCTGGGAAAACTGGATAAATATGTTATCAGTGTATCTACGTTATACAGTTATAGCAGTTTGATGCTACTTCAGTTTTGGTGAGGTACTTTAAATTCTTTGCCATTGATCTCTCATGCAGTCTCCTGAACTATAGCAAGAAATAGCTAAGTGTCTCACTGGAATACAGATCCCAGCATTCTTTAAGATGAAGCCATAGCTTCATGGAGTCTTACTCCCATAATTATGTAGTGTGGATACACCTTAGATTAGACAAGACAGAGAAGTACCAGAACAGCCTGCATTTACTGTGGAAAGCCATTAATGTGGACTATGTAACCTATCGCTCAGAAAGGGGTCCTAGACTCTCAGGTGGAATGCCCATGGGGAGTTTTACAGTCTTCAGGCTGATGTTACTGTTAATCACTGAATAATACTCAGGTTTTCAGAGTTCTATGATGGACAACCAAGGCTTGAGCAGATGGCAAAAATATCCTGTCGTTCACCAAACAGGCAGAGAACCTCTGTTGATTTGGACTGCCTATCAAGCTTATGAAAGTGATCTTGAACACCTTCTTTCAGCTCTGGGCCCACCAGCTAGCTTGCTTTTCCTGTTTGATATGGATGTAGATATATCTGACATTCCCTTTTCTTGTCCTTTTCCTTGTATTATGCTGGACGAAGTCAAAGTGCAGAAGAGTGATCACCACCACTGTTGGGACCCCTGTGTCAGCTACTGTCACACTCACCATCCAGGGCACTGCAAGACGCCTACGTGGAACCAAACGTCCAGCCAAGATTATTGCAAGTGTAATGCGCCTTCTTTATTTTCTGCTCCATTGATCAGCACAGCCATAGTCTTGAGGTCTGAAGAAGGAACACCAAAAGGCATAGTGGCGAAAACTCAAACTAGACAATACTCTTTGTGGGTTTTTTTTTTTTAAGAAGTGCTCCCTCAGGTTGTTTGTTTGTTTGTTTGTTTTTAGAAGTGCTCCCTCAGATTGTGAAAGACATCTGTTTGGCGTATTTTTCTTCACCTACATATTTTGGATTTAACATGTTTTATTTTGTAATTGGTCAGTAGATGATAAACACCTTCTTAGCTTGCATATCTGATTACTGTGGCAGATGTCTTTGAGGGAATTTCATTCTGGCAGTGAAGAATAGGTTAATCGTAGAACATTCCGTATGCATACCCCTGAATGTCAGGTTTAACCCTGAATATTTAGCAGGAACTATCAAGTTGCTTGCTCCCGTGGACAGACATGTTCTCTCTTCCACCTGTAAACATGCATTGTCTTCCACTTCAGACTTCCTTAAAGCATCCCAAGTTTAGAAAACCTGCTTTTTTGAATTATAACTTTTGGAATCCCCAACACTAACCATGCTGTCTTGGGAGGGTGGGGAGTGGGGTATTTGGCAACTTTTCCAACACTGATATCCCAGTTTTTCTTCACCTTCCCTTCCACTGTTGCCTCCATGAACCTTGGCTTTCACCCAGTGGATGTTGGGAGTCTGTCTCTTGTCTGTCTTGTCTGCTGAATGCAGCGTGCACCTTCAGCCTTTGAACAAGGTCCATCTGACTTTGGTGGTCCATGCAGTGTCCAGTGTGAGCAGCAACCAGGGCTTGGGGTAGAGACTGAATCTTTTGATAAATTCTTCTCTCAAAGGAAGTGGTTGAAAAGAATCTGGGGGAAATCCCTACAGTATCTGTATTGGGGAAACCCTTTAAGTAATGTGGAATTTGGCAGGTTTAGCCGTTTTGTGTGCCAGCAAATAAGCTGGTGTACTGAGAAGAGCAGGAAACGTTTAAGATAAATATTTTTTTTCAGGTTGGGAATGGGTAAAGAACTGCTGCTTAGCCACACATTTTGGTATGCAATACAAATGGGCACAGGTCTTTAGTGACAAGAATAGGTGGGGTATGGATCAGTGTTTGGGCTGGCAGTGTTGGCAGAAAAGTTTCATTGATGATATGAAACGCTAGCTCTTGTGTGTGTTTTGTCCAGCTCTTGTAGCTGCCAACTTTGCATCTCCCACAATGAACGTGTCGGGGTTTGCCTGCCAGAATTCTAATACTCTACCTCGGAGCAACCATGCCATGAGCCCACGAGCCACCATGATGAGGAGGAGACAGAGGAAGAAGGAGCACAAAAGCTCATGTAAGGCTCACAGGGACTTGTGGGGCAGAGATGTAGAGAGACTTGTTCTTTTTGAGGTTCCTCGGGATGATTATTCCTGGAAGTGCATCGTGGGTCCTTACTCTCTGGGTCTTTCCTTTCCTTCCTCAAGAGAACTCACTGCCTGTCAATCTTTTTCCCACATGGTAGGTGTGCTGGGACAGATTTCCTGGCCTTTCATCTTTCAGAAAGCAGAAGAAGCTAAGGACCCTCTTCTTTGTTTTCCCTTGTGTTGATGTCATGCTTTCCTTGGGCTACAAAAGCCAGATGACATAGATTCAGACTGTTTTTCACATTCCGCTACTGATTTTTTTTTTAATCATTCAGATCTGCTTTGTGGCAATATATAAATAAATAATCAATTAAAACTTCAGCCTATATAGTATAGTGTATAGGGGTGAGGACAGGGGACATGGAATTAAACAGGGTTTGTAAATCAACATGAACATTTTACAATATTCATTCTTATCTGTTACATTTCAAAGATAAATAAGTTTCCGGTGTAACTAATTTATCATACATATTCTAATATTAAATTAATCTTAGGCTTTCAATTATCAAATATTAATTTACGTTCTATTTCTAAGCCAGTCATAAAAATTTATGTCAACAATCTTCATGGTTCATCTTTCTTGTTGAGTCTAGCCATTCTGAGAGTTTGTCCATCTCCACCATGTCCAGAATTTTTGCTATCTTGAGGTGGATTCTCCATGTCCTTCCAGTATTTAGCAAAAAGAATTCTTGCCGCTGTCAGGATATGGATAACTAAATATTTTTCCATTAGGTCCATTGAATCTGGGATTTTATTTAGAAGGGGAAAAAAACCAGGGTTTACAGTTACAGGAATCTCCAAGGCCTCATGCAAAAGGTTTTGGAGTGTTATTAAAGCCTTCTAAGACTGCGGTGCCTTTAAATTAAGTGCTTCCTCTTTGCAACTTCAAGCAGTTTTATGGCTTCCTGCTAACCACCGCTGGATGATTAATAAGTAATTTCATCTTGAATAATCTTCCTGTGATTTGCCCCAGGTTCAGTTTGACCCACGGAGCTCAACGATGGCAATCTTTCAGATGTCCGTGGGCCACATATGTCCACCCTTGGACCTTGGAAAGCTTTATTCACTCCATCGCCTCTAACCTCAACATTTTAAAATTGTTTTTGCTTTTTAAAAAATCCTACACCTTCTGGCAGCAAAATAAATTGGAGGTTCCAGTTGTGTGTGAGTAAGCAAAACATGACAGGATTGCTCCAGTGTCCCCTAGATAGCACAAGAGGATTTTTGCATTTACTGCTGCTGCTGCAATAGTAAATAATTAATCATTATTAATTAATGATTAATAATTAGGTGGCTGGGGCCCATTGTTGGTGCACCTTGACAGTACATTGGAGCTCTTGGGTAATTTGTATGTTTCACTGTTGTTTTTATTCATGCATATCTAAACATTCAAACTTAAAAATATAACAATAATAAACAAAATAAACAAAAAAAACCCATTACAACTCAACACCCATCCTTCCCCTGTGGATCAGAGATTTCACCGTCATCTGGTCATCTGAGTATCTGCAAAGGACTCTGGTGAATCTGTTGTCACTGTGTTCCCCCTGCCTTCCAAGGGGAGCAAATCTTTAATCACAGATTTTCGCTATTTTTTTTTCTTATTGTTTAATAGTGAACTAATATTATTTCATTGTTTTTTAAAAAAAAGAAGAGAAAAATAAGTAATCAAAGATTTACTTAGCAGAACAACTCAGTGTAGTTAATATGGGAGGTTCTGATGAGCAAATTAGATATGATATTATCCACTAAAAGAAATGGTGTTAATCCATCAAGGGGCTTAATTCTGGACACAGAGCAAAGGGACAACAAGGTACCTTCTCCTCAGTTCTGGTGTCTAAAATTCTCCACACATGTTGTTTATAATTTAAAAACCAGTTGAGCAATTACAAATTGCTCAAATTGTATCACCTAGTTTGGCTTACAGAAAGATTCAAAAGGATATTACTCTCTAACAGTTTCCCCTCCCAGCTAGATGGGTATCTCCAGGTTGTCTCTTCACCTCTCATCATCAATATACACATTATAATATGACTAACTAGAATAACAAGAATGGTACATTTTCTGTGTTTCAAACTAGGTCTGAAAAGGATAGATTTGTTCAGCGAGTGAAGCTGTTGAAATCTGCTGGTTCTCAGTACAAATTCCTGGGTTATTTGGTGAAGAGTGGTAGATGTTTGATGTTCATTAGACTTTATGAAATAACATCACTCTTCCCTTTGGTAGCTCCACTGGGGGTGGGGTGGAGGGTAAGGAAGCCATTTCTAACATGGCACATTTACACTTGCTGACATTTCTTGGCATAGTAAGAAGGTCCCCACCCCGTCACTTGTATTGTTGCAAAACTTCCACAAGCATGTTGTTGTTATATTTTGACCCGGGTCTTTCTTATTTCAGTGTCACTGGCCTCTAGCACCGTAGGTCCTGGTGGGCAGATTGTTCATACGGAAACAACAGAGGTGATCCTAAGAGGAGACCCCTTGAATGGCTTTGGACTCCAGCTGCAGGGGGGTATCTTTGCTACTGAAACACTGTCCTCGCCTCCCCTCATCCGATTTATTGAGCCTGACAGCCCAGCAGAAAGGTTAGAGACCTTGCTCTTGGATATCATCAGATGATGATAGTGTTGTCTTTGGTTAATGGAGGTGTCTTCCCAAGTAGAGGTCATTTCATTATTACCTCCCCCTGAATTCTAATTGTTCTTGACTGAGAGCTTGTGTATCCATCAAGAAACAAGGAATTCATGCCTGCCATAAAATATTTATCAAAAACCTATCTGTTTATGCCCTATTTTTATGTGGCTTGCTCTGTGTCTTTGTTATGATGAACATCATCGTTTTGGAGATTTGATGGGGGAGGTTGTGTTATTTCTTGTAACACTGCTAAGACTTCAGCAATCAAAAGCAGCCTCCCATGAAATGGTTGCAGTCTGTTCAAATGATACTGTAATCTTCTTAATGGGGGTTCACACCTCAATCAGCCAAAAGGGCACTTTGCTTTATGGCCTAAATATGACCAGCCTGATCAGAATAGCACAAGAAGGAATAAGGTATTTTCATGTTATATCCATCATCGGAAGAAGAGCTGCAAGCTTGCATCTTCTTTGCAATGACAGTGCTTTGCACTAATTTTCTACAAATAAATGTGAATACCTAGCCAAATGCTGGTGCAATTTCAGGAAGCACTTGGTGAACCAAGCACAAGGAGAAGTCTGTTTAATTGTTAGATTAATGCAGTCCCATTAAGAAACTAATAATTTGATAGACACTGAATAAAATCAGTTGGAAATTAGAAATATAAACTGGAAAGAGAACTGTCTTTCTTTCCCACTTTCTTAGTATGCTTGTCTAATTATAACATAGTACAGGTGAACTTTCTGTCTGTTTAGAAAAGTCATAAGAAGGTAGAATGTTTTCCAAACTTTGCGAGGTGTGTAATAGTCCGCCATTATTTTTTTATTATTCATAGTCTGAATTATTTCCAGGCAGCCCTTTCAATAGCAGGTATTACAGTCAAAGCTTCTACTCCCCTCTCAGCACTAGCCAGAAAAGAATTACAACATTAATGGTAACATGGATTGAATTTGTATTGTGTCATAAAGAGTTTGTGAGTGAAACAGATAACTTTTCAGCCGGTACTTTTCTTTGTCTGTGCTTCATATCCACACAAATTGACCATTGACTTTGTAATGTATTTGAACAGCATCATTGCTTCCTGATGCTCAGGGCAGTATTAGAGCTGAAATAAAAGAACATATCCACCTAGTGCTACTTTTGCTCCCTGTACATGTAGCGGAGATGGTGTCTGTAGAATCATGGGCTTTAGAGGATAAGGGGTGAAATACATAGATCATGTCTTTGTCAAGTTGATCCAGGGGGCTTGGAACCCATCCAGTTTCTCAAATGCTTTTGCCAAGCCTTAAGCCAGTGCAATGCATCATTGCATGAGTTTGCCTGAAGCAATTGAGTCATGCATGTTTCTTCATTTTCCCCGCTCTCTGATGGCCATCGTGAAAGATTTTTGGTTGCTGGTTCTTAGTTTCTTCCATTCTTGATTATGAGAAATAACAGATTGCATACAGACCAAGTTAATTACACTGAGATCCCATTAAATACCAGCAAATTAGTTAGTTATGTCTAATTTTTCACATTCCCTCTGTGAAACGTCTGTTTCTGGTCTGATTAGTTAGATACAGGTATAGGTTAATTTTAATTTTAAGAGACTGAGGGTTGCCAGTAGCCATGACTTCCACAAAGTTGCTAACCTTGGCCCATTCATTCAATCCAACATACCATTTTGAGACACTTGTTGTAGGCGTGTTGTGTAGTCTGCTTGGTTTACACTAGGGATGCCCATCTTGTGGTTGACCATATTTAAAAACCTACCCAATAAATATTTTACTTGTCGGTGAGGATATTAAGCACATGGTACCTGCCCAGTGTGCTGTGTTCAACTCCATAGGGCAGAAATTGTGCAGAATTTCTTTCAATTGATGGCAGATGGTCCCAGACCCCAGATGAAGTTGCGCAATTGCAAGCATTATGAGAAGTTTTTCTTTGCAGATCCCAGATCATAGGGTGTGCTTTACTGTTGGTTCTGTTCTTCGTGTTACAGTAGTTGTTATTTTGCTTCATTTAATTCCCACTTTTCTTCCAGGGAGCTCATGTCTCTCTTCTCCCTACTTTATCTATACAACAATCCTGTGAGATAAGTCAGGTTCAGAAAGCAACTGGCCCAAGGTCATATGCTTTCCAATCCTTTCCAGCAAGATAACCTTGTGTCATTTCTGGATGTAAGCGAATTCCTACAGGTAATTTCCAAGTGGACCTTTTCTAACAGTAAAAGCAGTTCTACAGTGAGTAGATGATGGTCTGTCTCTTAAATAGAAACTAAATGATCATCTGTCATTACAGGCTTTTAGCAGTGTTTGGAATAGTCAGTCTTTTAAGGATTCTTAAATGTTCTTTGATATTTTCCTTGCTGTTAATTTTTTTAAAAAATACTTTCTTATGGCTGTTGTTTCTATTCTGACTTCTGCTTTTTACTTTTGCTTAATTTTATAGATGTGTATCATTATGTTTGTTAACATTATTTTAATTGTTCATTATATTGGTTTCCACATTGACTATGCTTTTCATAGGCAGGCAGGCCAGAACATTGACATTGCATTCATAAGTATGCTTAAAATAAAACCTTATATGATTCCACACATTGTGCAACTGCAGAGCTTTTGATCCTTTGAATAGTCTTCCCCTTATGAATTCAAAGATGATAGAGTTACTAATTTGTCATTAATAAGCATTGGTAAATACAAACAAAAAAAGCAATAAAAAAACTGATCCTCTCACTTTCCCCCTCCGAAAGATCTTTTACAACCTTTGATACTGGAATTCTCTAGACATGAAGACATGGTCGCTTTGTCACGGTTTTTAGGCAGTTGGATGTCTTCACAGATATCTTACTTAGGGGTATTTCATATTATTATGATCATATTTTTGGTAGCCTTATTGTGGAGTTTCCTTGTTCTTCCCTGCTCTCCTACTCTCCCACTCTCCTAATAATAGCTTCTTGATCCACCTGTCTTGTCATGCTCCCTGATGAATAAGCACCATATTAAAGCACATACATGCATTCTGTAAATCTTGTTTCAGCTGTTACATTCCTCTGCTTCCTGGAGGCAAAGTCCAGCCGGCCAATTTTGCTATCTTCGTCAGTGTGAACATGTTTACTTCAATTGCCAACTTGACTGTGGCCTTGAGTTTAACTCAAATGCCATTATACACACCACTGCTGCACACATTTACGCCTATGGACAAATCTGTTGATTCAGTTTTATGTGCATGTGTACAGGGCCTATGCTAGCCATCACTGTTCGTGTGTGATAAATGGATAGCATGAGAACAGTTAAATGTTGGTATCTATCATGGTAGTCATTAGGGTAGATTGTTGGCAGGATGGTGGTGGAGGACATGATGCCTTCTTAGTTGACATATGCTAAATGAGAAAAAGTGTGCATTTTCTTTCTACATACTGCAAGGAAACTTTCACTTAAAATTCGTCTCAGCTAATCTAAATATGAATGTTCCATATTCTGCAATGGTTGTTGCTTTTAACAAACAAAGCAAAGCAGACCTAGTATTATGCTAGGATCATCAGTATATAGCACACAGCTTTTCTTTGGAATGTCTTCCTGTGCTTATGCATAACATAAAACTGGCAATCATTAAATCACCACCATGACCGCCATTGGTAACAGAGCTTCTCTGTGCTGAATTCACAATATCTTTAAGCACTCAAGTCAATTATCCATATTGTATAAAGCATTTCCCCCCAATGACTGTGAGCAGTTGCTCCCTATTTTTGCAGAGAGAATTTTTGGGGCCAGTCAAACAGCTGCTCTCCATTGTTATTACATAGCAATTATTTAATTTTTTTTTAATTTTGCTGAAGAAGAACTGGCTATGAAAATATACAAAAATGCCCTCAAAATACAGAAGAAGACAGTCTTGCAATAGAGTCAAGGCTGCTAAGGGGAGTTTCCATTTCATTCCAACCTTGCAAAATCACAAGCTGAGGCTCAGCTGAATATTTGTGTCTGTGGGATAACAACAACAGCAACCAATGACTGATTGTGGCGCTTGGGTTTGAATAGCAGAACATCTGCATGACTTTCCCTCCCCAGGATCAGGACCAGTTTCTAATCAACTCTAATAGAGATATATGAAGCTGCTATATACTGTGGCAAACCATCCAGGCATTTTGAGGCTTATGTCTTACGGTGCTTATGAGATGTTTGGAATGTTTCCCAAAGCACAAATCACATAGATGAGCCACAATTATCCTGTTGAGTTGCAGTGTTGTGAAGGTGGAAACAAAAGGCCACCTCCATAGTCCCGTGATTATTCTGAAGCACATGGAGTACCTCCAAAGCCCGGTGTCTTAAGAAAGGTATCAATAATGGGTGTTGATTTTTTCCCCTGATGGCTAGCATAGTTAGGACTTGTTTATTTATTTATATAAAATATTTTTACCCCACCTTTCTCCATAAAAAGGTTAGGTAGCTTTTTAACACCCAAGACAGATTTCAACATTAAAAAGGCAATATTGAAAAGTTAAAAACAGTAAGTATACACATATTTAAAGGAATTAAAGATTTATTAAAATTGGTAAATAAAATCAATACCAAAAACAAGTTTAAAAGCAAGAAAAGAAAAGACAAAACACTCACTTAAAACCATGAAATGTATTGAGTGATCAAGTTTTAGGATTATACCAGAAGCATACTGCCCAAAATTCAGTGGCTTTTTTATGCTGATGTAACACAATGCAGCGTGCAACTGTAAATGCCTATATTAACTTCTTGACCTGTGGCCTTATTTACAATTACAATGGTGCCTCACTTAATGATTAGCTCGTTAAATGATGAATCTGCTTTACGATGAAGTTTTTGCAATCGCTATTGAGATTGCAAAACAATGTTCCTATGGGGAAAATTCACTTGATGATGATTGGTTCCCTGCTTCAGGAACCAATTTTTCACTACATGACAATTTTAAACAGCTGATCGGCGGCTCTAAAAATGGC